TGTTGAATTTGTTGTAAAGTGCTAAAGTGTTTGTAAGGTGTTGAATATGTTGTAAAGTGCTAAATGTGTTGTAACGGTGGTTGAATTGTTGTAAAGTGCTAAATGGTGTTGTAAGGTGCAGTAAGTGTTGTTAGATGTTGTAAATGTCTTGTATCTGAGGCGTGAGAATTGTTAGTGTGGTAATGTGTTTGTTATGGGAGTAATCTGTTGTACTGGCTCCAATGTAAGTCTATGGGAAAAAGTGCTTGACTTTTGTAATATCTTGAAAAAGGTGCTAAAGGTGGAGTTGAAAAGTAATAGCAATAATGAAGACGGTAAAGCCGGTCGTTACGATGTAATAATTGTTGAATTTGGGTGAATAGCGTTGAAGAGTTGAAAAGTGCCAAAAATCGGCGGAAGTGGAAGAAGAACCTAGAAATGGTACAAATGCTGAAAGCCATTGTGAGTGGCTCATAGATGTAGGAAGTGGTTAGGGATGAAGAAGGAAAAGAAGGAAGAAGAAAGAAAAGGAAGAAGAGAAAGACGAAGAAGGAATAGGAGGAGAAGAGAAGAAGGGTAAGGAAGGAGAAGAAAGGAGAAGAAGGGGAAGAAGAGGAAAACGGGGAAGAATGCGGAAGAAGAGGAAGAAGAGGAAGAAGGGAAGAAAGAGGAAAAAGGGAAACGAGGCAGAAGAGCAAGAAAGGAAAAAGGGAAGAAGAGGAAGAAGATTGAAGAAGGGAAGAAGAGGAAGAAGGGGAAGAAGAGGAAAAATGGAAAGAAGAGGAAGAAAAGGCAGAGAAGAGGAAAAGGGGAAAGAAGAAAGAAGAAGAGGAAGAAGGGGAATGAAGAGGAAGAAGGGGAAGTACAGGAAGATGAGGAAGAAGGGGAAGAAGAGGAAGAAGAGGAAAAGGGGAAGAAGAGGAAGAAAGGGGAAGATACAGGAAGATGAGGAAGAAGAGGAAGAAGGGGAAGAAGGAAAGAAGAGGAAGAAGTAAAGAAGAATGTTTGTAAGAGGGACTGAAAGTGTTTGTAAAGTGCTAAATACGTATGTAAATCTAAATGTGTTGAAAGGTGTTAATTTGTTTGAAAAGTGCTAATGTTGTTTTAAGGTGTTGAATTTGTTGTAAAGTGACTAAATGTGTTGTAAATGATAATGTGTTTGTAAGGTAATCTGAATTTGTTTTTAAGAGTGTTGAATGTGTTGTAAAATGCTAATGTGTTGAATTGTTGGAAAAGTGCATAAATGGGTTGTAAGGTGATGGAAGTGTTGTAAGGTGTTGAATTGTTTGTAAAAGTGCTTAAAGTGTGTTGTAAGGTGATGTAAGTGTTGGTATGATGAGTGTTTGTTTTGTATATGGGTATTGAATGGTTAGTGTGGGTAATGTGTTGTTAATGGGGAGTAATATGGTTGTAATGGTCCAATGTAAGTCGATGGAAAAGTGCTCTAATCTATTGTTAATATATGAAAAAGGGCTAAAGGTGGAAGTGTAAAAGTAATAGCAATAATGAACGGTGAAGCAGTTCGTAAGATGGGGGGGGGGGGGGGGGGGGGGGGGGGGGGGGGGGGGGGGGGGGGGGGGGGGGGGGGGGGGGGGGGGGGGGGGGGGGTGGGGGGGTCTAATTTGTTGAATTTGGTGAAAGCGTTGAAAGAGTTTTGAAAAGTCCAAAATCTGGCGAAGTGAAGAAGAATAAACAGTAGGAGAGCCATATAGTGCGCATTGTATATGCAGCAACTCAATAAACAGTAGGAGAGCATATATTGGCTGCATAGTCTATGCAGCCCCATCAAATAGAAATGGTACAAAGTGGCTGAAGCCAATGTGAGTGGCCTTGCATAGATGTTGGAAGGGTTAGGGATGAAGAAGAAGAAGAAGGGGAAGAAAAGGAAGGAAAGTAAAGAAAAAGGGAAGAAGAGGAAAGAAAGAAGGGAAAGAGGAGGAGGAAGAAGAAGAAAGGGAAGAAGGGGAAGAAGAAGAGGAAAAAAGGTGAAGAAGTAGGAAGAAGTAGAAGAAAGGGGAAGGAGAAGGAAGAAGAGGAAGAAGAGGAAGAAGAAAAGTAGAGAAAGAAGAAAAGAAGAGAAAGAAGAGAACGGAGGAGGAGGAAAAGAGCGAGAAGAAAAGAAGGGGAAGAATAGTAAGAAGAGGAAGAAGAGGAAGAAAGGGGAAGAAGGGGGGAAGAAGGGGAAGAATAGGAAGAAAGAGAAGAAGAGAAGAAGGGGAAGATGAGGAAGTAAGAAGTGTAGGAAGGTGTTGAATTTGTTGTAAGGTGTTGAATTTGTTGTAAAGTGCGAAATGTGGTTGGTTAAAGTGCTGAATGTGTTGTAAAGTGCTGAATGTGTTGGAAATGCTAAATGTGTTGTAAATGAGGAATGTGTTGTAAAGTGCTTTATGTGTTGTAATGTGCTAATGTGTTTGTAAATGATGAAATGTGTTGAAGGTGTTTAATGTGTTGTAAAGTTGCGAAATGTGTTGTAAGGTTAGGCTGGGGCGATTTTGGCCTAAAAAAAAAATCTCCGATTTTTAAAAGAAAAATTCAAGTTTCGATTCGATTTTCGATTTTTTTTTCCCCAATGCAACTTAAAAATGACTGGAGACATCAATATATTGTCCAAAAGTGCAAATTTAATTGCTGTGATTGTTCCTGCTCAAGAGTTAAAATGCAAGTAAAAAGAGCGCTCTGTTATTCACACTTATTCAAGCTTTTAAGACCCAGGTTTAAGCAAAATGCAACATCAACTTCACAGTAGCTTAAATTTTCTGATTAAGGAAATCAGATAACTACATATTTTTGTAACATATAACATACAATAAAACATAAAATAAACTCTTCTCTTAGCCTCTCAGCATAATGTGAATATAAAAAAAATTACACCAAAGCCTGTGGCAGACATATAGCTACAAACTAACTACTTTATCAAAGGATAAACACATGTAAACCTTTTATCTTTAAAAACAAAAATTAGATCACAGAAATATTGTCATGCTCATTCTACAGCATTTTTTTGCAAGAAAGAGAGCCTGTCCACAACCACAGTCCGTGGTGGCTGATTAACACGTCATCTCCCCCAAGCTCACGCGCGATCTTTTCACGAGTTGTATTGTAGCAGGTGAGGTCAGCTCTACCATCGCGAATACATGCGACCTGGGGACAACGTACAGTAACCTCGCATCCTAATAACTTTTAAACAAGCCCCCCCTGTTTAAAACCCCCCCGGTGGTCCGCGGAAAACCCCTGGGGTGGCGCATGAAAAATCTACACAAACAAAAAAAAAAAAGATTTTTTTTTTTTTTTGAGCAAATATAAACCATAAATTTTATTTAGCATTTGATTTGATTCAAAAGGACCTACTTGTTTAATTTGTGTTTGAGAACTATAATATATTTAATAACTTAGTAATTTGTCCCAGATCTTGCAGCGTCAATCAAAATCATCACGTACACAACAGCTCACATCATGCGCAGCGACACAGGCGTGGTCCTACTGTTGTTTGCTAAAACATAGTGGTTTGGAGGCCTAACAAATAAATAATACCTGCTTTAAAATGAAACCGTGGTTAATATCCACACAGAAAACCCCGGAGGGGAGAAAAGTCACTTTTATCAGGGTCAGGCTGATTGGTGCCGAAGAGAGGGAGAGAGGGCAGAGGAGGGAGAAAGAGGCAGAGGAGGGAGAGAGGGCAGCGGAGGAAGAGAGGCCAGCGGGAGGGAGAAGAGGGCAGCGTAGGGAGAGAGGGCAGCGGGGAGGGAAGAGGGCAGCGGAAGGGAGAGAGGGCAGAGGAGGGTGAGAGAGGGGCAGCGGAGGAGAGATGCAGAGGAGGGAGAAGAGGGCAGCAGGAGGGAGAGAGAGGGCAAGAGGAAGGGGAGAAGAGGGCAGCGAGGGAGAGAGGGCAGCGGGGGGGGCGGAGGGAAGAGAGGGCAGCGGGGAGGGAGAGGAGGGCATGCCGAAAGGGAGAGAGGGCAGCGGAGGGAGAAGGGGCAGCGGGAGGGAGAGAGGGCAGAGGGAGGAGAGAGGGCAGAGGAGGTAGAGGAAAATTCACTTGTATCAGGGGTCCAGGCTGAGGGTGCGAAGAGAGGGAGAGAGGGCAAAGGAGGGAGAAAGGACAGCGGATTGAACAGCGCGTTAAAGAGGCCCGGCTTTTTCGAGTCAAAGTAAAGAGGTCCGCACATTAAAAGCGGTGCCGGTCCTATTCCTTTACTGACTGTAACTTTGGCAAGAGAAGCCGCGGGGATGAACCGCCTAAAGGGCCACCTTTTGCTGCAACTACAGCTGCAAGTCACTTGGGGTATGTCTCTATCAGTTTTGCACATCGAGAGACTGGAATTCTTGCCCATTCTTCCTTGCAAAACAGCTCGAGCTCAGTGAGGTTGGATGGAGAGCGTTTGTGAACAGCAGTCTTCAGCTCTTTCCACAGATTCTCGATTGGATTCAGGTCTGGACTTTGACTTGGCCATTCTAACACCTGGTCTATTTGTGAACCATTCCCTTGTAGATTTGGCTTTATGTTTTGGATCATTGTCCTGTTAGAAGATAAATCTCCGTCCCAGTCTCAGGTCTTTTGCAGACTCCAACAGGTTTTCTTCCAGAATGGTCCTGTATTTGGCTCCATCCATCTTCCCATCAATTTTAGCCATCTTCCCTGTCCCTGCTGAAGAAAAGCAGGCCCAAACCATGATGCTGCCACCACCATGTTTGACAGTGGGGATGGTGTGTTCAGGGTGATGAGCTGTGTTGCTTTTACGCCAAACATATCGTTTTGCATTGTGGCCAAAAAGTTCGATTTTGGTTTCATCTGACCAGAGCACCTTCTTCCACATGTTTGGTGTGTCTCCCAGGTGGCTTGTGGCAAACTTTAAACGAGACTTTTTATGGATATCTTTGAGAAATGGCTTTCTTCTAGCCACTCTTCCATAAAGGCCAGATTTGTGCAGTGCACGACTGATTGTTGTCCTATGGACAGACTCTCCCACCTATATATATATACACATATATATATACATATATATATACATACACAGTTTGGTTCAATGTGGCCCTTAAGGGAAGAGAAATTAACTATTTTAATTCTATTCTAACTTTATATGGCATACATTATTATTATTAATATTATTATTTTTGCACAAATCATAATCTAAAACTTAAACTAACTTAAATAGAAGTAGAAAATATTCAAAAATAATAAAACGATAAAAGAAAGGATAACACATCTCACAGTGTTAAAAGCCAGAGAATAACAGCATAAGACCACAGAGAAGGCCCTGACCCCTGGGTTTAAGACCACAGAGAAGGCCCTGACCCCTGGGTTTAAGACCACAGAGAAGGTCCTGTGCTCTGGGTTTAAGACCACAGAGAAGGTCCTGTGCTCTGGGTTTAAGACCACAGAGAAGGTCCTGTGCTCTGGGTTTAAGACCACAGACCACACTGTTCCACATATTTTAGTTCCTATTTAAAATATTACAATATAAACACCCACCTGTGACTGTGCTTCCTGTCTGGGTAACTGTGTTGTGATTGGACGTTCCAGACGACGGGGGAGGGGCCATTTTTCCTCCCGGCGGCGGTGGGAGGAGCCCAAACCCTCCTGCGCTCTGAGGACGAGGCTTATCCCTCTTCTTGCCTTGCTGCGGTACAACAACACAACTACTTAATCATTGATTAAGTTCAAATTGACCTTCAAAGAGAGCAAAGATAGTGGTCATTTCACTGATTCTCCTTCCACATCTGCGACGTTGGGCCGTTACACTGATGTAGCGTGAAATGGCAGCGAGACAGAATGAAGAATCAAACTCAAAAGGGAGAGGTGAGCAACATAGAGCTGGACGTAGAGTAAGTGAGGCTTACTGCACTACTACATATATATATATATATATATATATATATATATATTTCATTTTGAAAGACTGGTATCGAAGGATTTACAGCATTTACAGATAGTTAAGTATTAAAGCTACTACTTTTTTTGTATATTTTGTGTGCTCCCTGTGTGCTCTTACTACTGTCCTGTCTGTGCGCTGCAACATCGACATTTCCCCACTGTGGGACAAATAAAGGAACTCTTATCTTCTAACACTGAGCCTCCAGGAGACAGTGGTTTTACGGATGCAACGGCTCAAAACTGACGGTGATAAAAGATATTGATATTTCCCCACTGTGGAACAAATGAGGGGTCTCTTCTCTTACCTTATTGCTCCAGCCAAAGCAATGTCACCATTAATCAATATTCAAAGTAAGCAGACCTCCCAGAGCAGTCAATTTGACAGGTTTTAGTTATGGCTAAGTGTAATGATGCATGAACATGGTTGGTCTTCATAACAAGTGTAAAGAAGCTAGTACCTGTTTTAAAATGGCTTTCTTGCTCTACAAACAGTTTAGTATATTTTACAAGCAATTATTATTATTAGTGTTGTATCGTTCACGAACGATACAACACTACAGTAATGGCCGCTGCCCAAAAAGCACACTTTGCCTTGTGATTCAGGTGTGTAAAGATCCGGTAAGCAGTACTGCAGGGCTGCTCTGTGCACCTTTTTAGTAAACTTTTAACAACTTTTTAGCGCGTTTTTATTGTTCAGTTTTTTAATATATCTGAGTGTTTTATGTTATTAATTCAGTGGTTTCAGCAAATAGCGCTTAGTCCCGACTGAAACCCACTAGTAGCACAGAGGCTAACACAAGCTAACGAGGACATGGAAAGTGACAATGAAATTGGCTCAAACATGCACAATATTAGTCGCCTCACCTTGGAGCTCCGTGAGAGCGACCGTGCCACCATTGCAGAACTACGAAAAGAAGTCCTTCGTCTCACCGCAGAGTTGAATGAGAAACAATCTCTAGTGTCCAAACTTTTTGAAGTCGCTGGTGGGCAGCATTCACGGCTTATGTCACTGAGCGCTGCATATTGTGACACTGTCGTGTGGGAGAGATCCGTCAGCTCCGGACCCTCCTGTTCTACACCTAAGCGCCCGGTTCCGAACAACGAGCCCGCGGATTCCGAGGAGCCATCCTGCGCCGTGGCCCATGTCCTTAGTCTGGCAAACCGCTATGCAGCCCTCTCCACTGACATCCCGGCCCCCTCAGCAGAATCCCTGGACACTGCAGCGTACTCTACTGCTCGAGGATCCAAGTCCACTGCGAGGAAAACGCTCCTAAAGGAAGCAGTCCTCAGGCGAAAGAGCGGTCCACCAGCCATGTTGGCCTGTTCCCCTTCTTTGACCCCAGTGCAGCAGCCTCAGACTGGGGTAGCGAGCCATCATTACCATCGCTCACCTCCACCGGGTCAGCAGCAGCGCCCAGAGCCAGCCCCTCTCACCGCTCCAGCGTCCCCGAGCACACAGCGTGGGTCGCCTGTAGCTGAGAGTCAGCACCCCCGCTCCTCCTCTCCATGTGTTCAGCGGCGCTCAGGCTCGGGTCCTGCTTCGGGTGAACCCGCTGGTTCCGTCCACCGAGCTCCTTCTCCGAGGCCACTCTTCGCCCCGACCACTCTGATTATTGGAGATTCCATCGTGAGACACGTCCGCTTCTTCAACGCGGTCACTCGCTGTATTCCCGGAGCTACTGTACCAGACCTGCTCATCCGTCTCCCTCCTCTGCTTCAGTCCCTGCCTGATACCGTTTCCAAGGTAGTCGTGCATGTGGGAATTAACGACATGAAACTTCAGCAGTCAGAAGTCACTAAGAAACATTTTATGGATCTGTTCCACCTCCTTCAATCCACGGGATTATCTGTTTTTATCTCTGGTCCAATCCCGACTGTAAACAGAGGTGACTGCCTCTACAGTCGTGTTGTGGCGCTGCATATGTGGATCCAGGCTACATGCAGCTCTTTTAACTTTGTCTTTGTGAATAACTTTGCCCTTTTCTGGAAACGTAACGAAGCCTATCGTCCAGACGGATTACACCCAAACAGATACGGTAGCAGCCTGTTGATGGGCTACATGCGTTACGTTGTTCAGCGTTCCCCGAGGGGGGCGTGACTGTTTACATCTGAGCCCCCTCGGACCCCACCGCACTCCCCCGCCTCCTGCTCACCAGCACCGGGTGAGTACAACGGTGCAAACACTGCTCCCTGTCCGTCTGGCAGTGTATTACCAGTCCAAACACTGAACTGTGCTGACTCCCTTCTGACTCTGGGAGCTAAAGAACAACAAGGGTTTTCACATTTTAGTCCAATTGAGACTGTGTGTGTTCCTCGCACCAGCTCAAAAATGTTTTTAAATTCTAAAAAACGAAATCAAAACAGGACAGCAGTTAGACGGTCCAACTCTGCAAATCTAATTTCTGTTCCCTGTAGAAATCAATCAACCACATTAATCGACTCTGACGTTATTTTTAAACTTGCTATGCTTAATGTCAGATCTCTATGTAACAAATCATTTTTAATTAATAATTTTATCACTTCTTATGATCTTGATTTTATGCTTATGGCTGAAACATGGCTGGACCAAAATACAGGAAATGCAGTTCTAATAGAAGCAACACCACCCAATTTTAAATTCGAATCCGAAGTACGAGAAAACAAAAGGGGGGGAGGCATAGCTGCAGTTTTTAGAGAGCACTTTGTCTCCCATAGAATGCCCCTTGGAAATTTTTCATCGTTTGAGTATATTTCTTTTAAAATGGAACAAAAGCAATCTTCTACTCTTTTCATTGTCCTGTACAGGCCACCACAGTCATGTTGCGATTTTATTGACCATTTTACTGAACTACTTTCATTCGTGTGCACAGATTTTGATAGTTTAGTTATTACAGGTGATTTTAATGTACATGTTGATAATGTTGATGACAGAAATGCAAAGGAGCTGGCTTCTGTACTTGAGACCTTTGGTTTCATTCAGCACGTGAGTGGCCCCACCCACAGCAGGGGGCACACTCTTGACCTGCTAATTACAAAGGGGGTTAATGTATCAAATGTTAATGTAGTTGATGTTGCTTTGTCAGATCATTTCTGTGTATTTTTTGACATGTGTTTTGCTAGCAAACCACCAGCTGAATTTACAATTGCTAGAAGAAGACACATACATGAAAACACAGGTGAACTGTTCATGGGAATGCTAAATTTTGAGAAAACTCCATGCTCTACTGTGATGAATTGTATAACTCTGTCACCACCAGTGTTCTGAATGTTCTGGACGCCATTGCTCCTGTGACGGTTAAAATAGTTACCAGTAAGAAAAAGGCCCCATGGACTAAGGCAGACTCGGTCAGGGCACAGAAGCAAGAGTGCCGGAGGGCCGAACGGAAGTGGCGAAAGTCCAATTTCCAGGGCGATTATGAAATCTTTAAAGATGAGTTGGGTGAATTTAACCGGGTTCTACGAAGAACAAGAGAAATGTATTTTTCTGACATTATTGGAGGTTGCAGTAACAATTTTCGTGTTATGTTTTCAACAGTTGGTAGATTAACGAACCCCCCTGTAAAGTTGCCCCTAGAATTTTCCTCTAAATCTAGGTGTAATGAGTTCGCACAGTTTTTCGATGACAAAGTACAAGGAATCAAAAACACTATCACCTCCACAGCACGTATAACAATGCAACAGCCAGAGAAGCTTTTTGAGCTAACTCACTTTGCACCTGTGGATACTTGAAACTGTCAAAAAGATAATCATGAGTCTGAGCTCCTCCACATGTAGCCTGGATATATTGCCCTCTAAATTTCTGAAGTCCGTCCTGAGCAGTTTGTTACCTTCACTGACACAAATAGTAAACATGTCTCTGTCGTCAGGAACATTTCCTATGGCCCTAAAAACAGCAGTCATAAGACCTCTCCTAAAAAAGAGCAGTCTGGATCCTGCGGGACTTCAAAATTATCGCCCCATATCGAATCTGCCATTCATTGGAAAAATTCTTGAAAAAGTGGCCTCCCAACAACTTACTGAATTTTTAACAATGAATAATTCTTTTGATATGTTCCAGTCTGGGTTTAGACCCCACCACAGCACTGAGACCGCTCTAGTGAAGGTAACAAACGACATTCGACTTCACACTGATGCAGGTAAAGTCACAGTTTTGGTCATGTTAGATCTTAGTGCCGCGTTCGACACTGTCGACCATGAGATCCTCATGCAGAGACTGGAGGACTGGGTTGGTGTCACTGGCACAGCCCTAGACTGGTTTAGGTCTTACCTGGAGGATAGGAAGTACTTTGTGGAGATTGGAGACTGCGTCTCAGATCATGTGGCCCTGACCTGTGGAGTACCACAGGGGTCGATCCTGGGACCTCTCCTATTTAATCTCTACATGCTGCCGTTAGGTCAGTTAATACAAAGAAACAAAGTGTCCTACCACAATTACGCCGACGACACTCAGATCTATGTCTCACTGACTGCAGGAGAACATGGACCACTGGATTTGCTCCTTCACTGTATCCAACAGATCAGTGAGTGGATGCAAAATAATTTCCTCCAGCTAAATGCAGAACAAAACCGAAATCATTGTCTTTGGTCCCCAGAAACAAAGAGAGGGCGTCATCTGTCAACTTCAGTCTCTCTCCCTACTTCCTTCAGACAAGGTCAGAAATTTGGGGGTAATACTGGACTCAGACCTAAATTTCAATAGCCACATAAAATCAATAACATCAACAGCTTTTTACCATCTGAAGAACATTGCCAAAGTCAGAAATATAGTGTCCAGGGCAGACTTGGAGATTCTTGTCCACGCATTTGTCTCCAGCAGGCTAGACTACTGCAATGGCCTGCTTACAGGTCTGTCCAAACAGACCTGTAAGCAGCTGCAGTACATCCAAAATGCAGCAGCTAGAGTCCTGACAGGAACCAGGAAGTATGACCATATTAGTCCGGTCCTCAGGTCTCTGCACTGGCTTCCTGTGGCTCAAAGAATAGATTTTAAAACAGCTCTGCTTGTGTACAAGTCTCTCCATGGCCTTGCACCAGAATACATTAGTGACATGTTGGTGTCATATGAACCAGCCCGGATTCTGAGGAGCACAGGGACTGGCCTCCTGCTGGTGCCCAGAGTGAGAACCAAACATGGGGAGGCTGCGTTTCAGATCTATGCAGCTAAGATCTGGAACAATCTCCCTGAAAATGTGAGGGAGGCGTCTACTCTGTCAATGTTCAAATCCAGGTTAAAGACTGTTCTGTTTGCCTGTGCATACAACTGAAGGATTTTATCTCCATTTGTAATGCACTGCTGTCATTTATTTATTTATTTTTTTAAATTTCTTGTGTAACTTTGAAAGTGTTAATGGTTTTATTCTTTTGTGTGATTTTATTGTTTTTATTGTGTTTTAATCTTTTGTGTGATTTTAATGTTTTAATTGTGATTCTGGTGTTTGTTTTATGTGATGATTTGTGATGTGGACTGTGAAGCGCTTTGTGTTGCCCTGTGCATGAAAGGCGCTCTACAAATAAACTTTGATTGATTGATTGATATTATAATCTGTCTCTTGCATGTTTTTGGCCTCACATCTTTTGATCCGATCAGAAAGTTGATGCACTATACGTCTTCTTCAAATTCTTTATTGACTTAAACACGAAACAGAATTGACTTAAATGAAAGGTTATTGAAGAGTATCTGTATGTAGTTTATTCCTATGTTGAATTAGTAAGTGAGAAGTTTACTACGTTTAGCTTCTGAAGTAGTCATTTTGACTGCTCCATAGATTGCCTGTTGTAGACTGTTTACCAGACAGCAGTTAACATTTAGCCTGTTTTAGCTTTATTTCAAGTTAATGTTTTTTGTAAAAAAAAGTATTTAAAAAAAGAAAGTAGTAGTTAAAAAAACTAAAACTGATTTTGGGGATTATTTTTTTTTGGCAGTCAAAAGGAGCCGGTAGGGGGTCGGTAGGGAATCGGTAGGGGTCGGTAGGGAGTCGGTGGGAGTCGGTGGGAGTCGGTGGGAGTCGGTGGGAGTCGGTGGGAGTCGGTCGGAGTCGGTGGGAGTCGGTGGGAGTCGGTGGGAGTCGGTCGGAGTCGGTCGGAGTCGATGGGTGTCGGTGGGAGTCAGTCGGTAGGAGTCGGTGGGAGTCGGTGGGAGTCGGTGGGAGTCGGTGGGAGTCGGTGGGAGTCGGTGGGAGTCGGTGGGAGTCGGTGGGAGTCGGTAGGAGTCGGTAGGAGTCGGTAGGAGTCGGTAGGAGTCAGTAGGGAGTCAGTAGGGAGTCAGTAGACAGGGCCGGCCCAGGGCATAGGCGACCCAGGTGGTCGCCTGGGGTGCAATCTGCAGGATGGGGCGCCAAATAGCAGTCTTAAAAAAAAAGTTTCCTTTTTAATTATTCTGCTGAGTGTTTCCCATCACATAAGATTGAAAAAAATAAAAACGTTTATGTATAGTATAAACTTAATCAGAATTGTCATCATCGAACCCTGCAGCTGTTGGCTGCACTCTTGTCACGCCAAGGTGAGTAGGTGGGGGAGGGGCAGCCCTGCGTATCTCAGAAAGTGTGAAAGATAGGTGGACGTGTTTTTGGTCAACGTGCAGCCAAACGCCAAAGAAAAGAAGAGATTGTTCATACCTCTACTCTGAGCCCGTTTTTCAGAGACATGCAGGTTATGGTTAGATGAGAGTCCATTTTCACAGAGTTATGACTCTCTACAGAGTCCTGTTTGAGACAGAGGCAGACACTACGCAACGGGCATAAAATATGTGTGCGATGAGCGGCGCGTTTTAAACAGAGGCAAGAATGATGCATTTCCATCATGTTTAGTGAATAAAGCAGTGAGCTGCTGTGAACCAGGACTGAGCCAGGGCTGAGCCAGGGCAACCAGGACTGAACCAAGACTGAACCAGGACTGAGCCAGGACTGAGCCAGGACTGAACCAGGACAACCAGGACTGAACCAAGACTGAGCCAGGACTGAGCCAGGGATTAACCTGAACCAGGAGAAACCAGTTTACCCCAAGTTAAACAACCCCTTCGATTATTTTACTGAAATTAATATATCAAAATTGAACTTGATATGACTAAATCCTAATCCTTTTTTAGTAGTAGTGTAATGCAATACAAATTAGATACAGTAATATTATAGTGTAATACATTCTTCTTACATAAAAGTGGAAAGAGACGCTGCGGGAATGAGCCGCCAAAATGCTCATTTTAATGGTTTGTAACCACATTTACAGCACACTTGTTCACTGTGAGGCCCTCTACAAGTGTGCAAGGGGCGACATAACATATTTTCGCCTGTGGCGCCTGATGACCTAGGGCCGGCCCTGTCAGTAGGAGACACTAGGGAGTTGGTAGGGAGTCGGTAAGGGTCTTACTCCGATGTTGAGCGTGATGGTCTGTCCCTCTTTAAAGCCCAGGTCCAGTTTGGGTCCAGTGTCTCCGAGCTGAGCGTTCTTACTGAACTCTGTCTCCTGTTTCACCCATCTGTCAAACACAAGATCAGGGTTAGCGTTAGCATTAGCAACACAAGACTCTGCAGAGAAACTAGAAGTGGAGCAGAACTGGATGTAGAGCAAGAGCTGAGAGAGCTAGGCTGCATTTAGAACAGAGACGAGGAGGGTCCAGGAGAATATATTGCTTGGTTTGACATATTTGTCCCTGTAAATTTAAAATCCAAACCAGAGTACAGTAAACGTTAGTAGACATGCAGATCAGCTTTTGGCTGAGACAGGAGAGGTCTGCATGTATACTGAGACAGAAGAGGTCTGCATGCATACTGAGACAGAAGAGGTCCGTATGTATACAGAGACCGGAGAGGTCCGTATGTATACAGAGACCGGAGAGGTCTGTATGTATACAGAGACCGGAGAGGTCCGTATGTATACAGAGACCGGAGAGGTCCGTATGTATACAGAGACCGGAGAGGTCTGTATGTATACAGAGACCGGAGAGGTCTGTATGTATACAGAGACCGGAGAGGTCTGTATGTATACAGAGACCGGAGAGGTCTGTATGTATACTGAGACCGGAGAGGTCTGTATGTATACAGAGACCGGAGAGGTCTGTATGTATACTGAGACAGGAGAGGTCTGTATGTATACTGAGACAGGAGAGATCTGTATGTACACTGAGACAGGAGAGATCTGTATGTATACTGAGACAGGAGAGGTCTGTATGTATACTGAGACAGGAGAGGTCTGTATGTATACTGAGACAGGAGAGATCTGTATGTATACTGAGACAGGAGAGATCTGTATGTATACTGAGACAGGAGAGATCTGTATGTATACTGAGACAGGAGAGGTCTGTATGTATACTGAGACAGGTGAGGTCTGTATGTATACTGAGACAGGAGAGGTCTGTATGTATACTGAGACAGGAGAGGTCTGCATGTATACTGAGACAGGAGAGGTCTGTATGTATACTGAGACAGGAGAGGTCTGTATGTATACTGAGACAGGAGAGGTCTGCATGTATACTGAGACAGGAGAGGTCTGTATGTACACTGAGACAGGAGAGGTCCGAGTTATTGTTATCTATTGAAACTCTCCGTCTGGTCTCATTCAAACATGGGAGCAGTGTCTTGCCAAAAAAAACAACGAATAAACTAAAACTCGTACTTGAAATGGTCCTGAAGAGCCACGTTGAAATCAAAGGCGTCTCCTCTGTCGCCGAATCCAACCCCAATGAAAGCGCTACGGCCTGGGAATAAGAAAAGTTGATTTATATTGTATTTAGAATCCACAATTTGGTGAAATCTCTCACCGTTGTCATCCATGATCCTGATGACGAAATATCGGCTGGAGTCACTCACAGTCTCCACGACGATACCAGGATGCTCAGTCACAGGGGCCTGCGCGAACAGCTCACCTGACGTACACACAACACATTATATTGTAAATTCAGGCAATCAAGAACAGCCAATGCTGACTATAGAGGAAAGCCTTTTAACATTCAGACGTGTTTTCTGGTCCTCTTTCACACAGAAGCAGCAGGTTCTAAGGCCCATCTTTAAATCACTGCATTATTGGAATCTTGTTTAGTTTCGCTGAGGGGTTTGGTACCTGAGATCTTGTCTTCCAGTTTGATGAAAGCTGCTTTCCCTTTGGCCGTGACCCTCATTCTTCCAGACCAGTCAGGAGAATCCAGTTTCCAGTCTGCAGCCCTGAAAACGTGAGCAGGTCATAAAACACAAACCCAGACAGTTCTCAAAGGCTGCACAATATGTGAAATAATAATGTATAAATCATCTGTTTTTTCAGGCATGAATGTTGCCTCTCCAGACTGGCTGGTCTGAGGCCCCTGCGCTGGCTTCTGATAAACTCTGAGGAGCACAGGGACTGGCCTCCTGCAGGTTTAAAATAATTAAATCTGAAAAGACGCCTTTGTATTTGCAAAGTCACGTGCAAAACTCACTTGTTAATTCAACTCTAACAGGAATAAAAGAAAAAGAGGTTTAGAGTCTATCAAAGTCCAGCTACAGACAAAAGCAGGCATCACACAATCAAACTTTGTAAATTATGAATGAGCTGAAGGAAAATATTGATCTATAAAGGCTGTTCCCATTTCAGGTTCCATCAGACACTGCAGCAGGTACAAGGTCTGTGTCTAAAGCAGGAGTGTCCAAACCAAGGGCCACAAGCCAAAAAGTCTTTGAGAGGATGACCACAAGTTGACAGTGTCATCCAGCCAACTCCAGCTCCACCATTATGGGCATGTTCTACCTTGTAAAGACTTTATCAGGTAGACCTTTATTAAGCTCTTGGTCCTGGTTCTATCCAGGCCGAGCTGGTACTAAAGCATTCTTACTGAATATTAGGTTGTTGTTAGATTATTATTATTTTGTATGTATTATTATTTGTTAGTTTGTTGAAAGCTACCAAAATAAATGGTTACCAAATGATATATTCATTCTGATTTCTAAAACATGACATTTAGAAGGGTTAAGAACAAAGTGAGAATTATTACTTTTGGTTACAGTGGCTCAGTTGGTAGAGCATTGGCCTTTAGGCCTGAAGGTCGTGGGTTTGATCCCACCATAAGACCTACTTCATGACTCCCACTGATGTCTGCTGTCGTTGTGTACTTGGGCAAGACACTTAAACCCACTTTGCCTGAAGCCCCCACTGAAAGATTTCAGCTCCTGTGGACTCACCACCTGCAGGAGGATCAGTGAAGGGCTGGTGCTAAGTGTACCGGGTGCAGCTCTGACTGCCACCCCCTGATCCAGAAATGCATTAAGGGGAAGAAGATGGATGGATGGTTCCTTGCCGATGGGTCTAATATTCTGTGTTCCAACTGGTTTATTCTCTGATCTGTTATTAATGGAATCGACAACTTTACAAAGTCCTCTGAGACAAATATATTGAATAGAATTGAATTCAATCATCAAAGCAGGTAATGATGATTAACTTCACAGGAGACTACAGTAAATCTGATGCTACATGTTTTCCATGGACATCTTTATGTAACCCACGTCGTGACTGTTTCCCCTCGTGCACTGCAAAAAGTGACAAAAAAATGCTAAAATTCGGCTAAATGTATCTTAATTTGAGCCCATTCTGACTGCCATGGAAAATTTCCCAATGGGACCAGAACAATTAAGTTGATTTTGAAAAGATAAAAGAGATGTCTCCCTTGGAATGAGAAAAATAAAGCAACAGTTCTTAAAATAAAACTAAATGGCTTCATCTTTTTGGCAAATCTTGTTTTAAGACAGTCAGAATGTGCTCAAATTAAGATAAAAAAAAAAAAAAAAAACACTCGGTTCAAAAATGTACAACCTCGCAGTGTTTTTTTGTTTTTGCAGTGTGTGGAGTGATGCGTGCGCCTGCCTCAGCCTCCCCTTTGGCACAAACACAGAAGAACCGGGGATGAGACAGACTCCTCCCCAGCTTCAGAGACTTCATTCCCCGCAGCAGATGCCAGAGAGGTCGCTGGTTACCTGTACGCGCGGTTCGAAGCCCTGGGGGGGATGCGGTACACGTTCACTTCTGGTTTTACGCACAGGATGGACTCGTATTCCCCCTCGGTCGCCATCTTGGATCAGCTGTGACGGGGAGAGGAGGGAGGGAGGTTGTGACAGCCAGGCAGGGGGGAGGCGGGGGGGAGGCAGGGGGGAGGCGGGTGGGGGGGATTGTTGTGAGGATGTGACAGCGAGGCAGGGGGGAGGGGGCTGGTGCATTGGGAAATACAAGAGATAGTGCGTGCTTTTATTTATACACCTCTGCAGAATCTGTATTGACTTTAGATCTTTCCAGTTCCTTCACAATATGGCATAGATTGGACTAAATCTAGAAAGATCCTCACCGTAGATGCTCTGTTTCACCAGCCCTCTACTCCACTCCAGTCTACTCTACTTTAATCTACTCCACTCTACCCTCCTGATAGGAAGCGTTTCCACTGGTCCTGTGTAACCAGTACCAGGTCCTTCTGGGTCCTGACAGTGAATGACCATGAGTGCTGCTGGAAGTCATGGTTTCGCAGGAATTCCAATGGATATATGTTTGTTTTGTTTCTCTGATCTTTTGTTGTCGAATAAACACTTTGACTGAACAAGTCAAATATTAGCTGAAGGAGAATAGTTTACACAAACAACATGACATTATAGACAGTCTCGAAGGAAATTAAAACGTATTGAGGACCAGTTCAAGATTAGCACTTTCAACCATTTAAAAGTGCTGATCCTTGGCTTTGGCTTTATCCTTGGCTTTAACTGCCATAGAATGTTGGTTACGGAGAACATTTAGTAGGCAAGGCAAGGCAAGTTTATTTGTATAGCACAATTCATACACAAGGCAACTCAAAGTGCTGAACAAAACAAAATAGCATTAAAATCATAAATAATCACGGTGCTATGAGACTTGGGTGGCATCTCTGATTGCCACCCCCCTGACCCAGAAATGGATTAAAGGGTAGAAAATGGATGGATGGATGGATGGAATAATCACGGTATATTAAAAATAAAGATAAAAATATAAAATCCCTCAGTTGTAGCACAGCTAAACAGGACCGTCTTTAACCTGGTTTTAAACATTGTCAGAGAAGAGGCCTGTCTCACATCTTCAGGAAGATTGTTCCAGATTTTAGCAGCATGAATCTGAAAAGCAGCCTCCCCATGTTTAGTCCTGACTCTGGGCACAACACGTACGTAAAAATCCTAGTCTTTCTGACAGTCACAACATGACCGCTACAGCCTTCTCTAGTGTTTCTCACGTTAACGTCAGCTGTAGCGAGGGGGCGGAGCCTGGAGACTGCGGAAGTGAATCGCGTCGTCCCTTCGAAGGTTCGTGGGGATTTTCTCAGGGTTTGTACTGTTTTCTCCGCTCCACACACAGTTTACAGCCATTTATGAACCGGGGATATCACATTATTCTATTTTCTGCTATAAAAGCTCGTGTTTGTGCAGTTATTCAGCATATTCTGGCTGTAATACGTCTTAGTTTCTGCCCGCTGACGTGAGGGTCGCTGTCCAAGGTTCTGAAATCACATACAGTCTTTCAATTAAATGTCGTCTATGATCAAATCGTGTTAGTATAAACCACTAAAACATCGCTCTAATATAGCAGAAATCTTGAACTTTTGACCAGGCTAAAAGCGTTTGACTGCCAGCTAGCTTTAGCTGTAGCTTACTGTTAGCCAATTAAGCTGATTGTATTGAACAAAATGTAACCAAAATATAAATGTCTTCCTAACATAGTGCTTTATGTGCATGTGTGTCAGGGTCAGATAAATACTGTGACTACAACATGCACTCGCACTGTTTCATTTGCAGCATGCTAGCTTAGCATAGATTTGACACTGATCACAGGAGGGAGTTGCTGCACAGATTGGACCCTGCCGTGTTAGCGAGGTGTGAGAGCCAAAAACATGGTTCAGCTGTTTTTATTTTGACTGGTTCTCTCTCTTTGTAGGATCTGATGTCTTCAGTCTAATGCAGTCTGGGGAACAGAGAAGAGTAAGAATGTGTGTTTACTAAGAAGCCCTTTGTTCAAGCTGCATACGAACTTAGATAATTAGGTTTATTGAGGTAAGTGTTTGTTATTGTCATGTAAATATAGAGTCGAGTGTGATGTTTCTTCTGTAATATTGTAGTAGTGTGAGTCCTCTTCTTCCCACCTGGCACCATGACGTCCTCAATGCTGCGAAGACAACTGAAAAACCTGGTCCAGAACTACTCTGAGGCCGAGGTCAAGGTATGATTGATTATGCTGTTTTATTCTTCTATATTAGAGCATAGACTGAATATTAGGAATGGACTAAGTGTGACATCCCCACAGGAAGAGGATGGTTTGAACATGCACTCCCTCTCGAAAGTACTTATACACCGTGAACTTGTGCACATTTGGTCAATGTTTACAGCCATAAACAAAAAGTTTTTATCAAGACATTTGTACTGATAGTGCACACAGACAGACAACAGATTTTCGTCAGGACCCGAGTTCTGGATCAACTTGAGCTTTTGCAGGCTCAGAGATGCCCACGAGGAGGGCCATACAGTAGACCAATCTGGAAGAGCCAAAGACATGGATCAGTTTTTGTGCATTGGGTTGAGAAAGGGATGGGCGGGGATTTACCATTTTTTAGATGGAGGAAGGAGACTTTAGAAAGGAGCGGTGTAGGTCATTTTTGACTCTCAGGTTAGACAGTAAGTTTCTTTTTCCTTATTAAAATGACCTGAGTCCAAAAAGTGCAAAAAAACTTATTTACTTTTCTATTGGTTTTAAATAACATCTGTTTTTTTCAGACTGTTGGACTAGATGCAGAAATTCTGACTTATATTTGACACTGGTTTCAGACAGACACATCCCTTACAAACATGTCTCAGTAGTTTCCTTAGTCTTTAATCTTGTCTCTGATGCAGGTGAGAGAGGCCACGTCCAACGACCCCTGGGGCCCATCCAGCACGCAGATGGCCGATCTCTCAGACCTCACCTACAACGTCGTGGCCTGTAACGAGATCATGACCATGCTCTGGAAGCGCCTGAAGGACGACAGGAACTGGAGGCACATCCACAAGGTGTTTGTTTATGTTCAGATCCTCAGTAGATTATGAAACATACTCTTGATATTCTTCCTGGGGCTGTGTTCTCATCGATGTCACGTTGACAAAATCTAAAGTACAAACAGAGAAATAAAGTTAGCCTTATACTTACATACTTACCGTAATAGGACACTCTAGGTCTCTCTCTATGGTCTCTCTCTGATCTCTCTCTGGTCTCTCTCTGGTCTCTCTCTGGTCCCTCTCTGGTCCCTCTCTGGTCCCTCTCTGGTCCCTTTCTGGTCCCTCTCTGGTCCCTTTCTGGTCCCTCTCTGGTCCCTCTCTGGTCCCTCTCTGGTCCCTCTCTGGTCCCTCTCTGGTCTCTCTGTGGTCTCTTGCTGGTCTCTCGCTCTCTGGTCTCTCTCTCAGGTGCGGATAATAGTTCAAAAAGTACAATACACACATGCACAGACACGCACAGACACACACGCATACATACACAAACATACACATCGATACATATTTGATTACGGTGGAGAACACTGTCACAGAAGATCCTTGTCCCGAGTCCAAAACGTAATGTGACTCAGTCTGGAGAGTCGAGTGTCCTTGAAGATTTGAAGACTGCTCGACTGATTGATATTAACACCTGCCATTTCAGCAGCAAGAGTCATCATTAACATATTCTGAAGACACAGCACTTCATGTTACCCGTCATAAATGTATCCATGTGTCAAATGTATAGAGCAGTTCATACACAAGGCAATTCAAAGTGCTTAACAAAAAAGATAAAAACAATCACCCAAGGCATTAGAATCATAAATAACCACAGTACTTTACACTGAGTCCAGACATCAAACAGCACCTTGGTTCATTTGGTTCCTCTGTCACTTCCACCCTCAGAAACCGGGGGGGGGGGTTGTTTTTGATCAGGCCCTGAATCTGGACAGCTCGTTAGAAACTTCTTTTATCATCTCAGAAACATATACAAAATTCGTTTGTTTTTAACCTGGATTTGAACATTGTCAGAGAAGAAGCCTGTGTCACATTTTCAGGAAGGTGTGCTCCTCAAAATCAGACAGTTGGCTTAAAGCAATAGTTTACAATCCAGAAATTATCTTTTCTGCCTTGTTTACGCACTAAGATAATTGTTAAGCTCGACACCTGAACCTAAGCCACATAATTATCTCAGCAGTAGTGACTGTCAACTGATTTCTCATTTATTTTTAAACCACAAGACGTTACCAGAATACTCCAACTCGTTACAGGGTCTGTGTGAGGGACTTGGCTGCTTTTTTACCACACAGGCACAGAGTAATGGACGTCACACATCACTCCAGAGCCAATGGAGAGGCCAGGCACCAAATTCAATTGTAGTACCACCGTAAATGTAGAGGGGGCGCCACACAGACGCTTTTTAGCTCAAAAGTGAAATATTATCAAATTTGCACTAAAATGTCGAAAAGTTGACCAGTATATGTAGAGAGCACTATATATGTTATGCAGTTTATTAGGTAAAATGTTGATTTGGAGTTTAGTTGTCCTTTAATGTATATTTTTGCTCTAACTTGTTCACAATACATTCTCCTTTTGAACATTCTCTTTGTAAATCAATGGCTCTTATTTCCTCTTTGCTTTCCAGTCCCTGACCCTCCTGGAGTACCTGCTGAAGACTGGAGATGACCGCGTGCTTCTGAAAATGAAAGACAATGTTTACATCGTCAAGGCGCTGACAGAATATCGCTTTTCTGACAAGGATGGCAAGGATCAGGTATCAAATAGTTAGCATTGCCTCTTTTGTATTCACTTTATTCCTTCTCTAAGAGAAACACATTTAGCATCTTAGCATCTGTAGCATTTCCCAACCAATAGAGACCCTGCTTCAACACAAATACTTTAGCATTTCCTCTACCTCACTGTATTCCTTCCTTATAAGATAAGATAAGATAACATAGACTTTATTGATCTCACACTGGAGAAATTTACACATTTGGCAGAGATAGAATCGCTCAGGTTGTACAAAAGACAAAATTGTGCAAACATGTTCAAGTTGAACATATATCTGTGCAGGATATATTATGTACAATAAAAAGTGGCAATAGCAGTGCTGTTTTTTTTGTTCAGTCCCAGTGCATTAGTGACTTAAAGTGACTTATTGTACAGTGTGACAGCGGTGGAGATGAAGGCCCTGTGGAAGCGTTCCATCTTGCATTATGTAGCATTTCATACAATTAGTCTACACATGCTGTCTGTCCCAACCAATAGAGAACCTGCTCCACACAACTGTTAGTACGTGCTATATTTCCAGCTATAGCAGTGCTTCTTTAGTGTTTCTTTGGCCTTGCTTATGCCTCTACAGCCGGGGTCTCCAACCTGTAGCTCGCCACCTCCTTCTGAGTAGCTCGCCACCAAGGGTTTTGAAATTATGAAGACTCTTCCCAATAACAAAAATGTTGTGTTTCCCAATACTTAAGTTTGTGCCCAATAAATGGGTATTAGATTAGTTAGTTTGATACCTAAAATGCAATCCAAGGCATGCCACTGTACGGTATTAACTCAAAAGGTTTAACGGTTTAGCTCTGTGCCATGTTTGTCCTTAAAAGGTAGCTCTTAGTGCAAATAATGTTGGAGACCCCTGCTCTACAGTCAGTATCAATGATTTAAAAAACCCATGTTTGTAGTAGTAACTACAGTAGTAACTCATGCTCATCTCGATCTCAGGGAGTGAATGTTCGAGAAAAAGCCAAAGTTGTTCTCGTTCTAATGGAGGACGATGAAAAGCTGAAAGAGGAGCGAGACTTTGCCTTCAAAACGCGAGAGAAGACTTCCAAAGGCGCTGCAGGTCTGTGCAACAACATCAAACGTTATCAAGCTTAGATGTAGTTAGAGGAGAAACTGTGTATGTACTATGTGTGTACAGTGGTCCCTGGTTTATGGCAGGGGTGAAAATAACCTGTATTAAGAAGCAGCTTTATGTTTCAAGGCTGTAAAACCCTTACACTTTATACACTTTTTTTACCAAGACCAGAGAGAGACACCAGAGAGAGACACCAGAGAGAGACACCAGAGAGAGACACCAGAGAGAGAGACCAGAGAGAGAGACCAGAGCGAGAGACCAGAGCGAGAGACCAGAGCGAGAGACCAGAGCGAGAGACCAAAGGGGGAGAGACCAGAGGGAGAGACCAGAGGGAGAGACCAGAGGGAGAGACCAGAGGGAGAGACCAGAGGGAGAGACCAGAGGGAGAGACCAGAGGGAGAGACCAGAGAGAGAGACCAGAGAGAGAGACCAGAGAGAGAGACCAGAGAGAGGGACCAGAGAGAGGGACCAGAGAGAGGGACCAGAGAGAGGGACCAGAGAGAGGGACCAGAGAGAGGGACCAGAGAGAGGGACCAGAGAGAGAGACCAGAGCGAGAGACCAGAGCGAGAGACCAGAGAGAGAGACCAGAGAGAGAGACCAGAGGGAGAGACCAGAGGGAGAGACCAGAAGGGGAGAGACAAAGAGAGGGAGACTAGAGAGGGAGAGAGGCGAGAAAGGGGGAGAAGAGACCACAATTGTCTCTTAGTGACTATATCCTATATCTGTTTATCAGCTTCGTCGACTGATGCCATCAAAGATCCCAACTACAAACCGTGCTACGTGGCCGGGGCCTCGGGACTGCCCTCTCTGGACAACATCCCATCAGTCGCCGATTTAACTGCGGCGTTTGCAGCAAAAAAAGAAGAGAGAGCCAAACACGAGCATCAGAAGAAGGAGGCAGAGAGAAGGGTCAGTGTTCAATAAACATAGCAAAACACCATTATTGATTTACAATAATGGAGGTGGAATCAAACCCAGGACCTTTTTGCTGTGAAGCACAAGCGCTAACCACTGCACCACATGCATTATTTTAACAAAGGACGCTGGATGTAGTATTTCATTCTAATTCTTATTGGGCTCACACAACACAAAACACACACACTCACACAAAACACTCATAAGATAAAATGATAATTGTCCCACAGCGGGGAAATGATTGCGCACATATACAAACACTTACAAACACATTCACAATCATGCGCACGTACATTCACGTGCACACACACAGTCCCACACAAAACACTCATTTACCAGTAGTGAAGGATTTTCCTGTCTCTCTCACTGAACCTTTGCCTTTTGTATATGTCCTGCTTAAAAACATGTGTTAATAATTATTTCTTAAATCTTAGGCGAAGCTGTCGGAAGACGAGCTCCAATGGGAAGATGCGGGCAAAGGGCCTGAAGTCGTAGACACGGCGTGGGGGGAAGAGAAGGAGGAGGAGACGGACGAATGGGGGGCTCCCAAAGAACCCAAAGAGGCCGAGGGTCCATGGGGCACTCCTGATCGGCCTGAGACCACAGACGCAGAGACGGCCGACCCCTTTGTGGAGGGAGAAGACCCGTTCGCTCCCCCAGAAGAGGTTAAGTTCACAGAGGACGACAGCGAAGACCCGTTCCAAGCCCCCAAGGACAAAACCCCTGACGAGAAACCCAAGTCTTCCCCTGTGTTTGAGGAAGACGCATTCACCTCCAGGCCAGACGACCCGTTCAATGCGCCCAAAGAGGATCCGTTTAAGGCTAAAGCTGAAGACCCGTTCGCCTCGGCAGAGAGTGATCCGTTTGGAGCTCCGAAAGATGATCCATTCTCCGCTAAGTCAGAAGTCTCCTCTAAATCGGAAGACCCATTTGGAGTTCCTAAAGATGATCCATTCTTCACTAAGTCAGAAGTCTCCTCTAAATCGGAAGACCCATTTGGAGTTCCTAAGGATGATCCATTCTCTGCTAAGTCCCAAGACCCATTTGGGGTCCCTAAAGACGATCGATTCTCCTCAAATACAGAAGCCTCCTCTAAATCAGAAGACCCGTTTGGAGCACCTAAAGATGATCCATTTTCCTCTAAGTCCGAAGACCCGTTTGGAGCCCCTAAAGATGATCCATTCACTGCTTCTAAACCTGAGACTGAAGACCCGTTTGGCGCGCCCAAAGACGATCCGTTCACGACATCGAAGAGCGCCCACTTTGACGACTTCAAAGAGGACCCTTTCGGAATGCCGGCCGAAGACCCGTTTGTCTCGGCGAAAGAAGCAGCAAAGTCGCCGCCTCTGAAAGATGATCCATTCGTGGCGGGCCCTAACCCCGTAGAAGAAGGGTTCGAAGCCCTGATATCTCCCACAGAAGATCCCTTCAGCACAGGTGGGTTATAATAATAATGATGATACATTTTATTTAAATGGCGCATTTCTGGGCAATTGTTAAAAGCAGACAAATAATAATCGACTGTGGAATGTAGGGTCATGGTCTCTCTCTCTGGTCTCTGCTCTGCTCTCTCTCTTGTATTGTTCTGGTCTCTATCTCTCTTTCTGGTTTTTCACGCTAGTCTCTCACTCTAGTCTCTCTCTGATCTCTATGTTCTCTCTCTGCTCTCTCTCTTTGATCTCTCCCACAGAGGATCCCTTCAGCACAGATGGGTAATAGTAATAAGGACGATAACACAGTTATCTATATTATTTATATGGCACATTACTGGGCATTAAGGGTCATCTTACACAACAGTGAAAGCAGACTATTTTAAATGGACAGAGTGGTATGTAGGGTCACAGGTAAAGATTCTTTAGGAACATGCATAACCATAGATTGTATACAAATGGACAATGCTAACCCGCTAGCTCAATCAAGTCCAACAGGGAAGTGGTCATGGACAAAGTTTTGCTCCAACTCTCTTTTTGACTTACATGGAAAAGCTCAGAAAATGTTTGTGTCACAGTCTCCATTTTTGGCCTTTGAAAAACCATCATTTAGCGCTTTTTTATCCTCTCTTGGATATTGTCTTTGTGAATCCAGATATGATACTGAACAACTGACCAGTGGTGCTAGGAGACTGGCGAGAGATAGAGAGACCAAAGAGAGAGACCAAAGAGAGAGACCAAAGAGAGATACCAAAGAGAGAGCCCAGAGAGAGAGCCCAGAGAGAGAGCCCAGAGAGATCCGAGAGAGAGCCCAGAGAGAGAGCCCAGAGAGAGAGTCCAGAGAGAGAGTCCAGAGAGAGAGTCCAGAGAGAGAGTCCAGAGAGAGAGTCCAGAGAGAGAGTCCAGAGAGAGAGTCCAGAGAGAGAGTCCAGAGATAGAGTCCAGAGATAGAGTCCAGAGATAGAGTCCAGAGATAGAGTCCAGAGATAGAGTCCAGAGATAGAGTCCAGAGAGAGAGTCCAGAGAGAGAGTCCAGAGAGAGAGTCCAGAGAGAGAGTCCAGAGAGAGAGTCCAGAGAGAGAGTCCAGAGAGAGAGTCCAGAGAGAGAGTCCAGAGAGAGAGCCCAGTTAGAGAAAGACCAGAGAGAGAGACCAAAAGGCATAAAAGTATGTTCAATAGTATCCTGCTCAAAGGGCCTGTTTGATTTAGTGATGTCATTCCAAAACTAAAAGTAAAAAGCTGGGGAACCTAATTTCCGGACCACTATCTCTACCATGTGTATCCTGGTTACTCTTCTTCACTCCCATGTATTTATGTTACTTCTCTCTCACCACCAGGACCTGCAGATGACCCATTTGCAGCTCCGACCTCTCCCCCTAAAGAAGACCCATTCTCCGCCTCAACCAAACCCTCAGGAGACCCCTTTGCCTCCCCCACCTCCCCCCTGAAAGAAGACCCGTTCACAGCCGCGGCCAGTTCTCCCAAAGACCCCGCCGTCGCGGACCCCTTCAGCGCTCCGTCTCCCCCAGGGAGTGCAGCCGATGCCTGGGGAGAGCCGGCCAGTCCTCCCCCCTCCTCAGCCGGAGACCCGTGGGGAGACAGTGCCAAGTCCCCCATGAACGATGCGGACCCATTTGGAGACTCGACGAAAGCAGACGACGACCCGTGGGGAGCGCCAGGTTTGTCTCCCACAGCGGAACGGAGATTCAACTGAAGAAATATGTACAATATATGTTTATATAACTGGACTGGAATGACTGACGTGGACCTCTCTGGTCTATCTCTTGTCTAGTTTCTGGTTCTCTATGCCATGGTCTCTGCTCCCTCAGGTCTCTCTGTCTGGTCTCTGCTATTGTCTCTGGTCTCTCTCTGGTGTTTCTTTCTGGTCTCTGGTTTCTCTCTCCAGGCTCTCTGGTCTCGCTGGTCTCTGGCTTTTCTCTCTAGTCTCAATGGTCTCTGGTCTTTCTGTCTGATCGCTCTCTCTGATCTCTCTCTGGTCTCCCTCTGGTCTCTCTCTCAGTACTATCATTCACATATGGTTAAACTCATTTTTGTTCTTCCAGCTGCTGCTCCAGTGAACACGGACGATGCGTGGGGCGCCCCAGCCCCCGACACACTCCCCTCTCCTTCTGATCCCTTTGGGTCTAAAAGTGACCCCTGGGGAGCTCCGAGCACAAACAGCCAAAACACAGGTAACACTTTAACTCTGTCTTTCTTCAGTCTCACCTCATCACACATGCAGAGTCAACTGTCTGGTTTCTGTGCTCCCTCTCTTCTACTCTCTTTCTGGTCTTCTCTCTGGTCTCTCTCTCTGCTATCGCTCTGCTCCCTCTCTGGTCTCTCTCTGTTGTCTCTCACTCATCTTTGCTCTCTCTCTGATATTTTGCTGGTCTCTGCCCTTTCTCTCTGCTCCCTTCTCTCTGCCCTGCTCTCTCTCTCTCTCTCTCTCTCTCTCCCCCCCTCTTTGGTCACGCTCTCTTTTGTCTGTGTGATTTCTCTGCTCTCTCTTTCTGCTCTCTCTTTTTTGTCTCTCTTTTCTCTCTCTTTGGTCTCTCTATCTGCTCTCTCTCTCTGGTTGTTGCTATCTTTAAAGTCTCTCTCTGCTTACTCTCTCCAGTTTGTATTCAGGTTTGTTTTGAAGAAAGTGTGAAAATCATTTCCAACAGCATTATTTAATCCCTTCTGTACTTCTCTGAATAATATTTGATCTCTTGCTTTGGCCTTAATCTATTAATATCCTGTAACTAGCATTGCTTAATTTCATGTCCATCTTCCAATCTGCAAGAATCTGCTAATTTCTAACCCACTAACGCTTCTGCTTTCTCTCTCCCCTCTCCTCCCCCTGCTCTGCTCTCTCTCTCCCCTCTCTCCCTTGTCCGACCCCTGCTCTGCTCTTGCCCCCCCCCCCCCCTCCCGTTCTGCTCTCTCTCTCCCTCCCCCTGTCCCCTCCCTGCTCTGCTCTCTTTCTCCCCTGTCCTCCCCCTGCTCTGCTCTCTCCCCCTGTCCTCTCTCTCCTCCTGTCCTCTCTCTCCCCTGTCCTCCCCCTTCTCTGCCCTCTCTCTCTCCTCCTGTCCTCTCTATCCCCCATGTCTTCTCTCCCTCCCCTGTCCTCCCCCTGCTCTGCTCTCTCTCTCCCCCCTTGTCCTCTCTCTTTCCCCCGGTCCTCTCCCTGAAGAAAACTCCTTCTAGAGTAGATGTGGCCCTGTATCTTTTGCAGGACTCGGATCGGTTTCAGATTTGGAGACATTTAAAAAGACTTCTTGGTTTCTGGGTTCGGCCGCGGCATCGTTGGTCGACCTGGACGACTTATTTTCTTCAAACCCTGCACCAAAACACGGCTGCGCTGCTGTTGCCAAAGCAGTCGCCGCTGGTAAGGACAGGTAGACTGGTGCGATGCGCTGCCATATGGTTTCACGTGGATTATAATCTGTGGATGCATGGCCAAGCTGCCACCGACCCAAAATCACAGACTTTTCTCTGTCTTTTCAATGTGTCAAATGCAATTCACTCTGCTCCGCTCACCTCTTCAGTTCAATGAGGATCGATTCTGTATTTAAAAACAGTTGTGTGAAAGACTGTGTTGATGTGTTTGGACCCAGTCGTGCAGAAATGAATCTGTATCTTTCTGCAAAAAATGAGGAGCTCTAAAATTTTCACATATTTCTCTGTCATCAAAGATAAAACATGAATCTGTTTGTGACGAAAAAGGAAGTAAAGTAGATTTGAGTAGATTCGGTTTTTCACAGGGGCCTGGCTCCAGAGAAAGACCAGAAAGAGACCAGAGAGAGACCAGAGAGAGACCAGAGAGAGACCAGAGAGAGACCAGAGAGAGACCCGAGAGAGACCCGAGAGAGACCCGAGAGAGACCCGAGAGAGACCCGAGAGAGACCCGAGAGAGACCCGAGAGAGACCCGAGAGAGACCCGAGAGAGACCCGAGAGAGACCCGAGAGAGACCCGAGAGAGACCAGAGAGAGACCAGAGAGAGACCAGAGAGAGACCAGAGAGAGACCAGAGAGAGACCCCGAGTGAGACCCCGAGTGAGACCCCGAGTGAGACTAGAGAGAGACACAAGATTGAGAGACCAAAGGGCATTAGAGTATGATCAACCATGAACAATGAACAATGACAGTCATAAAAGAAACTAAAAGGCCCAGAGGATCACACGACTCACTGGTAACAAATGTGCTCTGTTCCATTTCTATTACACCCATTTGTGCTTTGAAGAAATGCAGCTAACATACATATACACGCTCTTTATTGAATTTGCAAAAACGTTACATATACATTTCTGAGACTGGGTTTCGCGGTCCACTCCTCGCCCCCATATGAACTCGCTGTGTTGATGTTGTTTGGTATGTGACCAGTAGTGAACCATTAGCTATAGATCTGTACAATAGCGTAGTAAACCAGCAGATGTTACTAGCATCCTCTCATCCATCCATTTCTTTGCTTTCTGCTGGACTGCTCTGCCCTTTGTCCCTCCATCTCCACCCCCACATCCTCACTTCTCACTGAACTTCCCAGGCGTTTCGAATGCACCCTGTCATCCCCGAGCGTCGGCATGGCCCGGCGGACATCTTGGCTCCACTTTGACTCCTTCATACTTTGGATTGACGAGCCCGCCCTCTGCTCCTGCCCAATCGTTCCAAATGGAGGTTGGGTCGAACTATGCTTTCAATATGGCTTCTCCACAAGGATCACAGATGCAGATGCAGAAGCAGCCGGAACCAGGTCATTTTGGAGATTTAGTGGATCTTGCGAATGTGAGTTTTGGGAAAGCTGCTGTTACACCGATGCAAAGCAGTGTTTCCAACCATGTATTTCCAAACAACACGAAAGAAACTAATCCATTTCTCCTGTAGAAGTAGGATTGAGCTGCAATAAATATCTTGGGAGAGAGGTCAAAACAGATACACGTAACACAACTGTTGCATGTTCTGTTTTGGCCATAATTCTGAGGTTATGAATTATAGTGGTTGTGTGAGGTTTTCTCCTCTCCTGCTCTGGATTAAGTCTCCACCCCCAAGTACTTGATAGTGTCTGTGTTGCCCTTTTAACATCTATGACGCTGTATCAGACTGTTGTGGGGAAGAAGGAGCAGCGTCTGTAGTCAAAGCTCTCGATTTCAGTCTCTGTTCCCTCTCTCACCTTTGGTCATGAGCTTTGGGTGATGATCGAAAGGACAAGATCACAGATTCAAGCGCTATATGAGCTTCCTTAGAGATAGGGGGGAGCTCGGAGTAGAGCCGCTGCTTCTCAAAGTAGAGAGGAGACAGTTGCATCTAATAGAATAGTTTGGATCTGACTTTATGACTTTGGGGAAAAGTTTTGAACATTGCAGTGTTTTTATAAGCAGGAAACGCATTCATTACATAGTTACACATTAGCCAAAAATATGACCATCCACCCATCCATCCATCCACCCACCCACCCACCCATCCACCCACCCATCCACCCATCCACCCATCCATCCATCCATCCACCCATCCATCCACCCATCCATCCATCCATCCATCCGCTTTATTGATTGCCGGGTTATGGAGGCAGCAGTCTAGTGGATACAGAATGCTAAATATACAGCAAGGTTACAAACAGTGAAAGAACAGTTATTTTTCGATTTCTGATGCTTAAATGTGATTGAATAGAAGTAATACAGCTTCGATTCACCCAAAACAAAGACTCTTCCCCCTAACCCTAACCCTGACCCTCCCCCGTCCTTTAGACTCTCTCCTTCCGATGCAATTCACAGAACGTGCATTACAGAGTGAAAGTTCACGATTCAAAATGTGTTTTTCTGTTCTCTGCCTCAAGCACAAGTCTCAGAGACAGAGACCAGAGTTGGTGGGAGTCATAAAAAGAATTAAACGGTTCTATATTTGTGTGAACGAGATGTGGACAGTGAACAATGAGACAAATATCTCTTGGCGTATGATCTCATAACTCTATTTCTCTAATCTCTAATCTCATGTTTCAAGGAGTTATAGTCCCAGTTTACTTTGTGGTTAATTTTGTAACTATCTCTTAGCTACAGCTCTGTTTCCACCAGCCCTTCTTGGTCCAACTCTACTCTACCCTACCCTACCCTACCCTGCTCTACTTTACTCTACTCTACTCTACTCTACTCTACTCTACCCTTCTTTACTCTCCTGTACCCTACCCTACTCTATTCTACTCTACTCTACTCTGCTCTACCTTTACACTTTATTAACAAGTGCTGTATAGCAACTTTCCCACAACAAACCACTGTCTGTGGAAATTCCTTGGTAACCATGGCAATGACTTCTCGAACCTGCATATGGGCTATCAAGACATGGATAGAAATATATTAAGCCATGATTTCATCAACTCTACTTGGCCCGACTCTACTGTACTCTACTCCTTCTTGGTCCTGGTTCTATCCAGGCCCAGCTGGTACTTGTGTTCTAACTGACAGTGATTGGCCTAAGTGCTGCTGGAAACCATGGTTACCCAGGAACTTACATACTGGTTTGTTTTGGGTAAGTTGCTAGAAGTTGGTACCTGATGCTCAATGGAAAAACAAACCGGGTAGAGCCGAGTACTATGATGGAAACAGAGACTTCCTGATCACATCTTGTATAATTGTTGAGTTGGAAATTCCATGTTTGTAGCATTCCGTAACGTGTGTGTGCGAGCTGTGCATACTGTGAGTTTGGGATGACTGGGAATACTCTATCGAGCTTTTGTAAATAATGGAAGTAATATCAAATCGAATAATATATCGTCTATCAAAGTGTTGCAATCAATATTTATGGATCTAAATTATTGTGCGGTTGTTTGTGGATGCCGAAACCTCCCCCAGAAAAACGACTGGTTCCGGATTGGTGGGTCTTGGCAGCGGAGAAAACGTGTGACCAGTTGTGTCTTGATTTCTTTGTTCTTTTGGACTCGTGTTGTTGCTTCATGGACAGAAGCTACGTGTGTTAGTGACGTGTAGCTACAGCTGGATCAATAAAAAGGAAATTCAACACAAGACTCTTTTTTTTTTTTTCAATTCACTTTATTCTTGTATTACCCTAAATCCCAACAGTAGTTATCTCAGGACTTTTCACACCCGTTGAATATGCCAACTTCTGATACAGGAAATGCATTGATCGAAAACACTTACAGTAGAGCCATTGGTCCATCAATGTTGTTGAATGTAGTGTCCTGGGATCATAACCACTGTCCATATGTTAGACCCTCCTGCATCTGCAAGGAACAACTCAAAACCCCAGTGGGAAAACACAAAACCTAGGGGAGACCCACATTGAGAGAGAGTAGAGAGACATAGAGTAGAGTAGCCACTCAAAAGTAATGCAAGCTGTGGCCAGAAGACGGCGATAGACCAGAGATACAGCTTTACTATAAATACTGTTTGGCGCGTGGCCTTTCTCAGATGGGGTTTGCATAATCTCTCGGCCTTTGTTCTGTTTTCCTTCAGGTGCTCCGGTTTTCCCCAACCACTAAATACACCAGGAAAAATTCTCCAGCTCTGGTCCTGACCAAGATCCTTAACATCTGGAGCTGGTCCCTCGGGTTCTGTACCACTACGGCAAAAAAAGTCTACCGCAACTTAACTTGGGCTAAGAGCTGATTGGCTGACTGGCGGTGGTCCTCTCTTTTTCACTTCAGTATCAGAAAAAGCTGATTTAAACATTTGACAGAGGCCAAAAACTACAACTGCTATAGTGTTAGAAATCAGTCAAGAACTAGTTAAACAGATTTTCATAGTTAATTTTGAAAGTTGGGTCCCCCAGCTTTAATTCAGTAACATTACACACACATCTTTTACACCCTGCGGTTAATTGTCCCTGTGCGAGTCTCCAGGAGGCACTTTGTCCTGGTTTATCCTGTGTTTTTGTGGGTTAAGTGGAGTTTACGAGGCCAGAAGAGACAGTTAATTTGTTGAAACTGGTCTGATTGAGTCCCTTGCTCCAGATTATGCTCCAAGTGTTTGGAGCAGATGGAGAATTGGAGTGACGCTTAAGGACACTGGCGGGCCCCGGTTGCCTTTTTATTTCTTCTTTTTTTTTTACACGCAAGAACCAAAGGATTAATGAGCACGCACCAACACTTTCAAACCACTGCTTAAAATATACCAATCTGTCTCCCGCCCACCAAGAGTCACCAGAGGATCATTGCATTATATAGCCCTAAATATAGATTATTGTTATGTTATTTTGGCATGCTAGCTTGTCATCATTGATTCAACGGGATGACCACTGTCCGTAATTTTAATAATGTCCTGAATCATCACTGTCCTTAGACCCTCCTGCATCAGAGAGGAACCACTCAGAAACCAAGGACTGAGGCTGTAGATCCAGGACTGAGGCTGTAGATCCAGGACTGAGGCTGTAGATCGAGGACTGTGGCTGTAGATCCAGGACTGTGGCTGTAGATCCAGGACTGTGGCTGTAGATCCAGGACTGTGGCTGTAGATCCAGTACTGTGGCTGTAGATCCAGGACTGAGGCTGTAGATCCAGGACTGAGGCTGTAGATCCAGGACTGTGGCTGTAGATCCAGGACTGTGGCTGTAGATCCAGGACTGAGGCTGTGAATCCAGGACTGAGACTGTATTTCCAGGACTTGAGAACTACTATAAACTCAACCATAATATAAAGTAATTTCTGGGGTTAAGCTAAATTCTGTATTTGAGAATGGTTAACTTCAGCAGTTCCAAATTAATGTAATGTTTGTTCTATAGAATTGACCAAAGTACAAACTTATAGATATCTCATATTGTTGAAAGTTGTAAACCAATCATAAGTCTGTTCTGGAGGTCCTCGTGCAGTTGAGGAACAGCTCTATCTAGTGTCCACATGTGTCACAGCAGATGCAGGGATTTGCATAATCCCTAACATTACAGTTTCTTTCAGTCGCTTTGGTGCATTTCTCACATCACTCTTTACATTTGCACAACAGTTAGTGCATTGCTCAGAACCATTTGTACAATCTGTAAAACCTGGTGGATAACTTGCAAAAGTGCATCACTTTCTCAAAATGAAACGTTAATTCCTCAAAAGCAAGTCTTCATGTCAATGAAACTGTCTGTGTCATCAAAAATAATAAGTCCTGACAACATTGAGTATGAACAACACAGTCCAATGACTTAGTCATGTTTTCATTGTGACACTACTCTCTGTTACACATGACTGTATTTAGTGAAGTAACTGGGTACAAGACACATGTATGTATGTTTACATGTTTGTATATATGTATGTGTGTATATATTTCACGTATTTACTGCATATGCTGTATGCAATTCTACAGCATTGTGCAACAAAAAATCAAGTCACTTGAAGTATTTACATAGAACAAACATATTAAGAAATAGCATTATGGTATAACCCTTTAGTTCCTAAGTCCTAATAATAGTTGATTGTTTTTTTACAGCGCCGTTTTAGACACTGAAAGACGCTTTACGCGTTATTATTCCTTCACTCCAAACACAGTACTGATAACTATTCAGCTGCACTTTGAAAGAGGCAACCAGTCTGTGCCATGTCTGACCACCACCAACCATTCACACACACACACCAGACTCATTCTAATGTGGGTGAAGTGTCTTGCCAAAGGCACAACCACATTTTGACATTTTACAGCCGCCCCACTGAGGTACCTGGTGTTCCCATAGGTCTCCCATCACAGCACTAACCAGGCCCTGTCTTGCACAATTTCAGAGGTCAAAGGAAGATCTGCCAGCCTTCACCCTGGTCCTGTCAGACCTCTGAAACTAAGTAGAGCGGTGTTTGGTTAATACTGTGATGGGAGACCTTTGGTAACACCAGGTGCCACAGAGGGGTGAGTGTGTGAAACTGTTGTGTCCTCAAGCAAGACACTTCACCAACATTAACTGAGTCTGGTTTCATGAAAGAGATTGCAATAAGTGGTATTTCTCTGTTTACAAATTAGAGTTGTGGAAAAGGCAAGTTCTGTTTGTATTTACCTTGTATTCTTGTATTCAGAGACAGCCCTGGATCTACTGCAGCCTGAGGCCTGGATCTACAGTCTCAGTCCTGGATCTACAGTCTCAGTCCTGGATCTACAGTGGTCATCCTATGAACCAATGGCTCCTATGTGTTTGTTATTATTGCATTACATGTGTGAACTGTTTGATTGTTCCAAATTGGAACAATCAAACAGAGATTAACACAGGTCGGACACATGTACTCGGACACTTCCAACTCGTGTCCGAGTACATGTGTCCGACCTGTGTTCTCGCTTCTTCTGCAAGAACATGTCAGTGTTATGTCAACATCACAGCCTAATGTGACATCACCAGGGTGAAGTTTAGCGAGGGCTCATCTGTGTGTATACCATGAGCTGCGATAATCCAGGAACAGATGAGGACCAGGACCAGAGGAGTCAAGAGGGCGGACGCTCACCCTCCTACAGAGCCCCGCGGAGGCAGCAGCAGATGGGCAGAGTGTGGAGAGGATTAAGAGCACAGATCTCAAAACTCTAAACTAAGGCAACATCAGTAGTGGATGAAGACTGAGGAGGAGGAGGAGATGGGACGCAGGGCGGAGGAGAGCGAGGCTGGGCACAACCTGGGTCCGGGAGCGAGCGGTGAGTCCATGTTTATGCCTGAGGCGTTCGAGTAAAGTAGAAGAAATGCAGCCACAGAAACTAGTTCTTTTAGTACTGGACCGTATGTATGGCAATAGTCTTTAAACATAGATGGATACAGTACATAGATGGATATATATGTATATATACATACATAGATTCATATATAGATACATACATATACTGTACATACATTGATAGATAGATACATAGATAGATGTTTAGGTAGATGGATAGACAGATAGCTATAGAGATGTAGATAGATGAATTAAGAATTGAATGAATGTACTTGTCACTGACCCAAAAGTACTTTGTCACCCAATACTGACACTGATGCTGTTTCATGTGTTGTAATTTGTAACTTTACTTCACTGAGTTGTTCCCTCCTCACACAGTGGTGAGGTAAACCTCCTACAGCCTTCTGAGACTGTTACTGCTGTTTAGGTACAGCTGTAGCTACAGTTGCCCTGAGGCCTGACATTCCCAATCTGTGCCATGGGCCCCTTCGAGACTAAACCAATTGTGATCTTTGAACATGACCCTAAAGCAAGATTCTCTCTCAAAAACCATATTTCTGCTGTATGTAGCACAGGTGCCAAATCCAATAAGAAAAGACTGAAGCTTGAGGACTTCCACAAAGTCATGGTCACAAATACTATTGTCTACAGCTCACATTCAGTTCAATTCATTTCCATGTCTTTGTGTACAGCCATAAATCATTAACAGATCAAAGAATCAACAGTTCAAACACAGGAAATACAACAATAAAGAAATACAGCCATTGGTCCATAAAGGGCAGAGAGCAGGGTCCATAGAACCTTCTCCATCAGCAACAACTCTAATAACCCAGTGGGAGAAAAGTGAGAACCCTCAGGGAGGCCCCCATTGAGGGAGGGATCCACTCCCACGGACGGACAGGCTGTAGACCCAGGACTGAGACTGTAGACCCAGGACTGAGGCTGTAGATCCAGGACTGAGGCTCTGGATCCAGGACTGAGGCTCTGAATCCAGGACTGAGACTGTAGATCCAGGACTGAGACTGTAGATCCAGGACTGAGACTGTAGATCCAGGACTGAGACTGTAGATCCAGGACTGAGGCTGTAGATCCAGGACTGAGACTGTAGATCCAGGACTGAGACTGTAGATCCAGGACTGAGGCTGTAGATCCAGGACTGAGACTGTAGATCCAGGACTGAGACTGTAGATCCAGGACTGAGACTGTAGATCCAGGACTGAGGCTGTAGATCCAGGACTGAGACTGTAGATCCAGGACTGAGACTGTAGATCCAGGACTGAGACTGTAGATCCAGGACTGAGACTGTAGATCCAGGACTGAGACTGTAGATCCAGGACTGAGACTTTAGACCCAGGACTGAGGCTATAGACTCAGAACTCAGGCAAACACATTGGTCCATAGGGAACTTGAGGACCAGTCCTTAGACCCTCCAGCATCAGAGGTAAACCACCCTTTCACATTCTTATAAAACATTATGAAACACGACCAAAAACATTTGACCCTAAAACTTATCTTTCATCGGACACACTGATAAGGCCTCATTTAACTCAGACTAACTAACTAAGAGGAGACTCTACAAATTGAACACCAAACAGCTTTACCAAGTTGTCGATTCACCAACAGCAGATCAGAGAATCAAACCGTTAATAGGGCAGAGTTGAAAAATCGCCAATTTCTAACCCTAATATATCATTGAAGAAAAAATGGTGTAGAAATAATGTAAGGGGTAAAAATCCTGATTTATTTTTGTGTGTTTGAGAGTGACACAACTGGACACTGATGAGGGAGAGTGAGGGAGAGTGGGGAGAGTGAGCGAGAGGGGGGAGAGTCTTGTGTCTGTGGTCTGTGGGAGATTAAACCTATAGCATTAGTCTCAGAGATGGAGTTAAAGCTGACGGCGATTAACACGACACACTCGGGAACTTTACGTATTCTGTTGAGAAAAATCTTTAATCTTTGTTTTTCCACATTCTAATGACAGTACTCGCCGGACAATAAGTCGCTACTTTGTTATAGATTTGTGATGTATGTTAGAGTGCTCCCTGTGGTGGAGGAGGGTACTGCATGGTGTGTTTATGTGGACAGGAGATTGACTCTTGATGGGATTCAGGCTTTCTCTCTTTTTCTCTCTCTCTTCTTTCTTCTCTCTCCTCTCTCTCTCTTTTTTTTCTCTCTTCTCTTTTCTCTCTCTCTCTCTCTTCTCTCCTCTCTTCTCTCTTATCTTTTCTCTCTCTCTCTCTTTCTCTTTCTCTTTCTCTCTCTCTCTCTCTCTCGCTCTCGCTCTCTCGCTCTTTCATCTCTCTTCCAAGTCTCTCACTTCCTCTGTTCTCTCTCTGCTAGCCATCTTTAGTAAGCACCATGGGGGTGTCCAGGAGGAATGTACACAATACAATACAATAAATGTATTCTTGTATAGCCCTAAGTCACAACAGAAGTCATCTCAGAGGACTTAACAAAACCATTGAAATCACCAACACACAATAGACATGTACAATAGACATACCACCCTCCCTGCCTCCTCTCTCTGGGGCCAGGACTTAAAGGTCTTTCCTGGTTAAATGAAGGTGGAATAGATTAATTAATGTAATCACTTTGTTATTTAGGGTGGTGACAGTAGCTCAGTTGGTAGAGCTGCTGTTGTTGTGTCCCTGGGCAAGACACTTAACCCGACTTTGCCTGAAGCCCCTGTAGAAACACCAACACCGTATCTTTGTTGAAAGAGTAGCCATCTTCCTGTGGCTCCACCACCTGCAGGAGGAACAGTGAGGGGCAGGTGCATTGTGACTTGGGTGGCAGCTCTGATTGCCAACCCCCTGACCCAGAAATGGATAAATAAAGGGATGACGATTATGATGATGATGATGACCCTGACATAGACATTTTGGTTTTGTGCTTAAGGGTGCTACATTTCACTTGTGCTTTTTATTCTAATGATGTCCTTCTTTGTGTGTTCTAACTGGGTTCTTTTAATCGTTCCTCTCTGATGCAGGGTCGTGCTTATCTGCCCCTTGGACCAATGGTTCTATGTGGTTGTTTACATTGCATTTCCTGCTTTTGAATCAGTGAGGGCGGGTCCCGGCCAAAATGTCCAAAATTACTTGCGCTGACATGCGTGGGTGGGGGTGGACCCGGAATAAGAATCAATCAATGCTAATGTCCAAAAGTCCGTTTTTGGCTCAAAGCTACGTTCCACATGTTTGTCAATGCTGAGGGGAGTGTATTTTTTTTAGACCAGTCAAGTTCAGTCGCTGTCGAATTTTCCAGGCACTCATCAAGTTAATGCTTGATGAGTAATGGAAGTGGTGGCACAATGGTTTGAACGGCGGAGATTAGCGTGACTACGTCCGTTGATATTTACATCTGTTGTTGGCGAATCGACAGCTTTGTAAAGTCCTCCGAGACAACAACAGTTGGGATTTATATTAAGTCTTTCTGTCACTTTGCCTCTGTCCTGCTAAGGAAAATTAGCTTGTAGCTGTTACTATTACTAACTATTTCTAGTAGTGGTCTGAACAATACATTTATTTTGCAATGTCTTTGTCAACTAAGTAAATAAATTCCAATAAGATACTGTAGGACGAACCTATATTTCAAGAGTATATTCCTCATCCCAGAGAAATATTTGGATTTAAACTGACTCTGGTGAAGGTGAAAGATGCTTCTACTTGAGGTGTTGGCTCTGCAGTCTCCAATCGGTAACATTTTAAACCCTTCAATGTACAAACTGGAGACAGCAGCGCCAAGACCTTGAGTCGAAGCCTCCATCACCTTCACCAGACTCAGTTTAAATCCAAACATTTCTTTGGGATGAGGATTATGCTGTTGTTTACCCACTTGTGTAAAGAGGCCAAACTCAGAGGCCTAGATTCACTTTATCCTAACCCAGATGTCGTCTTTCTTTTCCTTCTAGGTGCCTCTAAAGAGTAATCTCCTCCACCTCCAGATTACCGTGGATTATCCGAGCAGAGGCGATCCGAACCTGTTCCACAAACCGCTTCCAGGAAGATCTCAGCCCTCAGCACTGATTCATATTCTGTGGAAACGCAGAGACAGACTTTTTTTTACTGTGGATTTCATTATGGATTTCTCTTGTCCCAATGAGGGATGGCTCCGACTGGCAAAGACAAAGTCACCAGGGAAAGAAATATAGCATCATTTGACTATTGTAAACCGTGTATTGTTCTTTCAGTGGACTTTACAGATATACACACATATACCAGCTTTAGACACAACGTCAAAAGTGAATGAACAATTTCTCATTTTGACCCTGGTATTACTGTTTAAGTACATATCTCTTGCTCTGAGCTTCTGAACACCTTATTTCAACCATTACTCCCTGTCTGGTCGATGAGGCTGGCATCTCTTTAATCTCACCATTACTTTCTTCAATGTAAAACCCTCAGACTGCAATCTCCCATCTGACCTTTGCTCCATTGTCAAAGTCGCAATCACGGCGCTGTAGATCCTATGGAGGAGAGCGGTGATTGGGAGTCCATCCCCGCCCCCTACCCTCGTAAAGCAGAGGATTCCCCCCAGAGAAGGAGCCTCCGGACGGCCGCGGATTAAGCCATGTGACTGTGGACTTGGACGCACGGCTAAGATCTTATTTTGCTCTCAAAGTCAAGATCGAGTGAAGACTGAAGAGGAGGAGTTTAAAATGGCTTCTGGGGTGGCTGTAGTGGGACCCAAAGTTCCACAAAAGCACTGAAAAAAGCAGTACGTAAAGCAGTTCAGCCACATCTAAACAAGAACTTAGAGACAAATACAAGTGGATTTAACAAGGGCTAGATCTAACCACATAAATAAGTGTGAATGCATCCAAAGTTTCATTAAACACACAAAGCAGTCTGAACTTGGACTAAAGACACCTCAAAACCAAAATCAGATTATTGTTTTATTGCTCGTGACCAGAGAGAGAGACCAGAGAGAAACAAGAGAGAGTAACAAGACATAACAAACTTGGAATTTGCTTTGGCTCAAGGTGCAAATAATAAAAAAAAATATATAAGGCATAAAGAACATCTTCATAACATTTCTTAAAATTAATCATAATACTTTTCTATTTTTTTTGGACACTCAAAAGGAACAAAAGTCCTTAATTCTTCTTCCTACATGTGCAGTCCACACAGACAGGACTCAAAGACAAGCACATGTGGATTCAAGGCTAGATTAACTCAACAACAAGAAGAACCTCTTGAAGGACTCAGTCGCGCCCCAGAGATTGAGAACCCTCTGGTGTCAGCCATGTTGGATAACTGGTCCAGGACAAACCGGTCCCTGCTGTCCCTGTCCCTGACCTCCATGGCCCTGACGCTGTCGGTGTTGGCCTTCTGTACCTCGTACTGGTGCGTTGGGACTCACAAGGTGGTGAAGCCGGTGTGTCTGTCTCCTGTCAAGATGAAGAACTGTGGCCAGAACAACAGCCAGCCCTACACCACAGGTACGACTTCTCTACTACAGGTACAAGTGCCCTACACCACAGGTACGACTTCTCTACTACAGGTACAAGTGCCCTACACCACAGGTACGACTGCTCTACTACAGGTACAAGTGCCCTACACCACAGGTACGACTGCTCTTTACTACAGGTACAAGTGCCTCACACCACAGGTACGACTGCTCTTTACTACAGGTACAAGTGCCTCACACCACAGGTACGAGTGCCCTGGGATCTTCGAGCAGTCATACTTGTATTACAGGTACGACTGCTCGAGATCATAGAGAACTAAACCAGATGCTGCACCGCAGGAAGCATGTCATAAACAATGTTCCAATAAAGGCTGAAAGTGAAATTGCGAAAAACATCTCCCCAGGGAGGCTCCTCGCTGTGTGGAGGAGCAGCGGCTCTACTTTGAGCTCTCCTCCCTATCTCTAAGGGAGTCTCTAAGGAGATGTATGTGGACCGCTTGTGTTTTCTCTGTCCTTAAATCATGACATATTTAGAAAACTCAAGCAAAGTTTAAATTAATCTTGTTTTCACAAGAATGTGACCTAAATCATTATAGTCTATAACCTATAGTTTATAGTCTATAATCTATAGTTTATAGTCTATAATGTATACCGGTAGTTGATATTGTATAGTCTATAATGTACAGTCGATAATCTATAATCATTGTTGATAATCTATAATCTATAGTCTATAATCCAGACTTAATTGACCGTGTTACAGAGACTTGTTTTGGGACATTTGTAACGTTGTCGACATCTGGAGGTTTTTCACTCGTCCTTCTGTCTGACATCAACTCATTTACACACATAGACGCACACACACACACGCACACACACACACACACACACACACAGACACACACACACACACGCACACACACACACACACACAAATAAACAGACACACACCCACACTCTCCCTCCCTTGCGCGAACACACACACTCATACCCCCCACAAACACAGACCCACACAGTCTGTAATCCCAGATTCTGACCATAATCTGCAGCTGTGGTTTTATCAGTGCTGTGTTAATCCCATTTGTTTTACGGCACAGAGCACAACAGATTACTTCAGATTACCTCCGGAACAGCGTCTCAGCCTGGATCCAAGCCACAAGAAGACTAGTTATTAGGATTTAGGTTGACGTCCGAGCACGAGAAGACACTAACAGTTTGAAAGATCATACACACATCTCCAGGACTGAGGCTGTAGACCAAGGACTGAGGCTGTAGACCAAGGACTGAGGCTGTAGACCCAGGACTGAGGCTGTAGACCCAGGACTGAGGCTGTAGACGCAGGACTGAGCTACTGTAAACCCTGACAAGTAAAGTTTACTTGAAAAAACCATGGAAATAAATTGCGTATTAACTTCACTTAAATTCCTCGAGTACATCCTGTACTTGATATTACCAAGTAACTCAAGTGATTGCGATAAAGCTTAAATTTCTACTTGTTCTGACCGG